GAGAGCCCAGAGGGGGAGAGAGAATAACTTTCTGGCCAGCCAGGCATCAGAGGGAAGAGGGAGAGAGAGAGGTTCCGAGCTTTGGCAAAATAACTAGACTCCTCCACATCCTATAAGAATTAGAAAGGGTTTATTAGCATAGAACTATGGGTCTAAAAATACCCAGAAGAGTGGTGTGGCCCATGATTCCTGGAAAGGTAGCACCTATAGCACATGGCAAGGCACAAGCATTTGAACACTGTCTTGAGAAGTGAATTAAAGGCATGGTACTCACTGAAGTGTTCTAGTTGTGGTAAAATAAAAAACGACATTCCCTCTAGTCTCTGTATATGCTTTGTGGTCTGAGTTACACGGGAGTTCTCCATGCCTTCTCATTGGATATATGTGTTGTTACGGGGTTTGCTACTTTTAAATTTCTCAGTACAGCTTTGGGCAAGTACATATATCCAGGAGTGTTGCATATATTTGCAGGAGTGCTGGGAAAAATAAATATGCTACCTAACAATATTCCAAGACTTTAATTACCTGGGCACAACAGGAGGGGCTGGACTGAAGAAGACTACATCAGGTGAGTCTCCAGCAATGGCCGTGACCCAAAGGCTCATTTAGGAAAGGGCTGGGAATGTGCACCTGAGAGCAGGATGTGGGCAAGACATGCAGATCCAAGTTTTCCCTTGGCTATGAGGACACGGCCTCAACCTGGCCTAGCTGGATTGGCCCTCTTTTCTTCTTCACTCTCTGCCTCTCTGGTCAGGGCAACAAGAACAGCAGATTTAGTGACCTATAATAATGGAAGTCCACAGGCCAGAGAACAGAATAGTCAACAGTCTCTGCAGTTCAAATATTCACTGCTCTGCCTCCCACCCCTTCTCCTCCCCTGCAGTGGTTACGCTCTTCTCATCTGAGCGGAGAAAGAGCACCACAGCTTCCCAATCTCCATAGTGGTCCTCATCCCGGAAGGAAATGTCTCAAAGTGAGTCATCGCAGCACCCAAAGCAAAGGTGACAGAGACCCTCTTGAAAGCCTGACGGGAATGCAGGCTTTATAAACACTGTGCTCAGCAGCTTTGGGGCTGGAATACCATCCTAAACTAAATTACCAATCTGCAAGACTTGGCAAAATCTGTCTGTTTCTTCACTTATTGGAATGGTAGAACATGTAAAGAATCCTTAAAACTACCACACTGGACTGAGCATTGGAGGACAAAAGAAGATGTGACAAGGGACCTTTGTTTTTCTCTTTTAGAGTCAAAGAATATTCCTCAAAGGGACCTTAATGACCATCCAGTCCAACCTACTCATTTCCCAGACAAGAAAAGTGAAGCCCAGAGAACAGATGGGCTGCCTCCCCTAGTCATATGGGGCTTAAAAATATATATGTACATTATATATATATACAAAATATACATATATATGCATATATGTGTGTATATATATGTACATATTTTTTTTCCACGAGCTTTAGTGAAAGTGACCAGTGTTATCTCATTTCCTGGCTTCTCAAATCTAGGATCCAGCCAAATCTAACTATTATTCATAGACTTACACTTTCTTACCTCTATATTATTGCCCCCAACACTTGGAATGCTATACTCCACCTCCCCAACCACCCAACTTCCATTTTTTGAAATAGTTTTCATCCGTCAGTGATTAGCTCAAATATACTGTTTCTTGGATAAAAATTTCTCTGCTGACATAAAATTTCTTCTGTCTACAGCAACTACAACAACAGTACCTACATACTGCCTATTATGGACTGTGCAGCTTGCTTATATTTGATCTCAGTCCTCAGAATAACCACATGACGTTGATATTATCTTCAGTCACATATTACAGATGAGGAAACTGAGGCACAGAGAGGTTAAGTCAGTCGTCCAGGGTCATTCAGCTGGGAAGTGGTTCTGACAGTTTATTATAAATATGCCACATATCATCATTATGCTGATGAGGAGAGGAAGCTAGATTCTTTAATAGGATCCCCCCAACCAATAAGTAAATAAACAAACAAATACACAGATTAATTGATAGGAATTGAAACCTTCTAGTTAATGGACACAGAATTCCTGAATTTTCAAACCTTGCTTAGGTTCAAGTGTGGACAAGAGTATATGGCACTGCTACTTGAACTTCAGTCTCAGGAAGTGGGCATGTAGAAAGTGTGTTGGAGACTGTGCACTCAGGACAACGTTCAATGACTGAGTCTGAGCCGTGCACCTCTCACCTGATGTCTGCTACAGCTGTTCAGCGTCAAACTAGTGGGCAGTATAAATAGTCTTTGCCCATTACACAGAAGGTAGATCCACCCCACCTGCTGGAGATTTCACCTGAGCCCCGGGACTCGAATACAACAGTTGGGTATGTACACATTTTTCTAGAGAGAGGTTTCATAATATTTGCCAGATTCCCCAGGGAGGTGTCTATAAATAACAAATTTAGAGGCATTGTGGAGGCAGAAGAGCTCCATGACTATGAAGGCAGAAGGAGCATTTCTGGAAAGATGAGAAGAATCTGGTGGGGTAGAGCAGTTTTTCTTGTATTTAAATAAAATATTTATTCCTTCTGGATGATGTGGGTTTGATGAGAGGGTGTCCCTATACACTGATGATGCCACTGTCCTTAAAGTGTTAAGGCAGTCAGGAATTCGAGAGATTAGCCATCCGCACCCCAGCATTTGACAGTTGATGAATCTGAGACTTAGACAAATGGAGCGACTTATCCGAAGCCACACAATCAGAGCTGGGATAAACGAGAGTCCAGTTCCCACTCTATTTCATGGTCCCTCCACGTTAGTTCAAATAACATCCTATGAAAACGATGACTGTCACAAGGAAGGGTCCACATGAAACCCAATATCCACACATGACCTGTGGAAGCAATGCTTTGTCATCTGGCTCCCGAGAATTTTATATAAGAAATAATCCTCTTCTAATGCTTTCTCTGGTCCCCAGCTTTGCAACATTCTCCCTCTATAAGAAAAGAACTGAATGGATGTTAACTAGACTAATTGTGGTGATCATTTCACAATATATACAAATATTGAATCACTACTTTGTTCACCTGAAACTAATGTTATATGTCAATTATATCTCACCAAAAAAAAAAACAACCCTAAAAAAAAAAAAAAAGAACCGAATTGTATACTTTTCCCACTAAAGATGGAGAATGGAGAGTTAAGCTGACCTATAGTCATTGGTTTAACTTTTTTCATTGCCCTTAAATAGCTTTCATTCTTCAATTTCTCTGTTTCCTTTCTACCTCAAATACCTCAGCTCACCAGCACCAGGACACCAGGAAGTAGAAAATGGTTTAAGCATGAGAATTTTACTCTCCTAGGGAAGTAATAATCACAATTTCACAGTGTGTTAGAATTTATGCAGTGTATATCTCACTTGAACCTTAAAACATATCTGTACAGGAGCAAGAAATTATAATCCTCATTTTACGATGATGAGACCAGGGTTTTCTGATAAGCAGACAATACTCCCAAGCAGAATAGCAATAACTTTTGTCTAGCTCTGGATTTTATCAAGATCTTAATTTTAGAGTAGTAAATATGGGGACCAAAGTCTTTGGGAGATCCCAAATGCAGGTGCTCCCCCCCCATTAATTAACCAGATGTATTTATGCATATATGCTACAGAGCAATTACAGAGACAGACGCATATATTGACATTATGGTCTTTTCCGCCCAGTGTTATCTGAAAGCATGGAGAAGTTTTGCTCTCAACTGGGAGAAAACAGGTGCAGAGAGCAGGTGATTTGTCCTTGCTCACATCATAAGTGAAAAGTTACACCAAAGAGAACTATCACTCTACAGTGTGGAAATGTTCTTCCTAGTGATATGTTAATTTGAACAAAATGTTACCATAATGAAGCAGCATACTTAATTCATGGAGGTTTTCTATAGCAGTACTCTGTATGTGCAAAGTAAAATCTGATAGCATCTCCAATAGAGTCTTCCCTCTTTTTTAAAAATAAAGAACTTCGAGAGCAGAGTGGGAGGGCTTTAATAATAAAAATGTAAAGAGTAGGATTCCTATCACCTTTAAGCAAGAATATGCTCCATTTCCTACTTTCTTACCCTCTAAAAATGTTCAATTCTTAAGAAATCAAAGATACTTTAAAATCTAAAATAATTCTGGCCCTCTAAAAAATTCCAGTTCTTAAGAAATCAAAGATACTTTAACATCAAAAATAATGCTGAATATCAATCATTAGAAAATTACTTATTTCTTTCATGAGCATTTTACTTTGGGAAACATCTTTTCTCAGTACTCTTCTTAAAGATCTCTATTCTTAATTAAGCTGAATCAAGAAATTGATGGCATCTTGCATGCATTTTGCCCCTGGGATATTTCACCATTTTGAAAGAACCCGAGGACAAATCTTGCATCAAGAGATGAGTAGAGCTGAAGGGAAATTTAGAAGTAATCAGTCTAATCTTTTACCCTGGGTAGGACTGTCATTTACAATACACCTGAGAGGAAACCAAGCAGTATCTACTAGAATATGACAAATGACAGGGAGCTCACTACTTCATACAGTGGTCTACCCCTCTGTTTAGCAATTCTTATCATTTTATAGTTCTTTCCTATTTTGAATAAACATCTACCTACTCTTAACTTTCACCCGGACCTGACTCCTAAAGGGGTACAAAGTCTCTTCTTTCTTCATATATGAATTTTAAAGGCTCATTTCCTTATTTCTATGCTTCACACTTTTGTTCTTCAGATGAAACACCCTCAGTTCCTTTGATTTGTCCTCCTATACCTGGGGTTCAGATCTGTCAATATCATCTTTCCCTAAGAAGGTCATTCTCCTTTAAGTCTACTATAATTTACTAGTCTCCCTTTTTAAAATCGGCACCTCAAAATGTATGCAGCCTTTGATAACTTTCAGAAATTGTTGCTGCTGAGAAATGTCCTTGGTTTCACACAACTAGCCGTCTTTGCTCACTGTGCTCTCTTTTGGGGATAGTGGGTCTGTGATCTGAGGACCTACCTTTGCCAAGGTCTCATCATCCAGGTGATTCTTCTGAATCACATGTTGAAGTGCAAAATAAATTTTTTCCTGAAGCTTCTGGACCTTCCTTGGTTCTATCAGCCAGGCTCGGTCTGACAAAGGAAAAGAATGGGTAAGAAGGCGAGGGAACATAAGTTTGTTTTTTTTTAATTAATTAATTAATTAATTTTTGGTGAGGGAGATCGGCCCTGAGCTAACATCCCTTGTCAATCTTCCTCTTTTTTGCTGAGGAAGATTAGCCCTGAGCTAACATCTGTGCCCATCTTCCTCCATATTGAATATGGGATGCCACCAGAGCATGGCTTGATGAGCAACTTGTAAGTCTGTGCCTGGGATTCGAGCCTGCGAACCCCAGGCCAGTGAAGCAGAGCACACGAACTTAACCACTATGCCACCAGGCCGCCCCCAAGGGAACAAAAGTTTTGTTTTCTTTCACTTACAAGATATAACTGCTGAGTTTCAGACCCATTTCAAAGTAGTTCTAAATTGCTTCTGAAGATGTAATTATTTATATAAAACATAAATATTGCATAAGCAATGCCATGATGACAGTAATGCACAATACATCGACAAAGGAAATGAAGATGGCGGTAAGGACACAATGGTTCAAATTAACTCCTTCGTGTTTCTTCTTGTCTGTGACAATTTATATCTCTTACTCTTTTTCTGGATATACGCTGAGATTTTCTTTCAAAGTAGAAGTTAGTGATTTGTGAAGAAAATGAATTATAGCAGTGAAAAAATCTCTTGTACTGGAATATTTTTGGTATTCAGGATACTTCTTCCCCTTTATAAGCCATGTTACAATTTATATAGCATAAACATGAATCAATTTCAAAAATTTAATCTTGAGTCCTCTTACTCTACACTGAATTTTTTTTTTTTCTGGTGAGGAAGATTAGCCCTGAGCTAACACCTGTTGCCAATCCTCCTCTTTTTGCTGAGGAAGATTGGCCCTGGGCTAACATCCATGCCCATCTTCCTCTACTTCCTTTACTTTATATGTGGGATGCCTGCCATGGCATGGCTTGATAAGTAGTTGGTAGGTCCGTGCCTGGGATCCGAACCTGTGAACCCTGGGCCGCCAAAGCGGATTGTGCAAACTTAACCACTATGCCACTAGGCTGGCCCCTCTATATTGAATTTTTAAATGGTGGATAGGATAATCCCTCCTTTCTTTTCTTTTTTCTTTCTTCCCTTGCTCTCTTCATTCCCTCTTTCCCTCCCTCCTTCCTTCCTTTCCTCTTAGAAGCTTTATACACCATGGTGGCAAAATTCAGCCCAGCATCAATGGCTTGGGTTGGAGCTTCAATGAAGAGACACCTAGAGTCTCCAAATGCGGAACAAATACTCATGGAAAAGAACTTGGACATGATCCTTCTGAACACAGTTCAGGTCAGGTGAGAAACTGGAGTCTGTAATCCTAGACAAGGCAAGGACAAGTCTAGCCAACAGTTAAGCAAAACCTTACGTAAGTGAGCACAAAAGCCTTCAGTGACAATTGTCAATCAGAATAAATTAAGTTTCCCTCCCTCTCCCTTCCCTAAACCATCTGGAGCTAAATAGACAGTGGCTATTATGGCAACAACCTGGGGGAAGGGTGGGGGTCTGGCATAAGATGGAGCCTACATAGTCTGGAAATCTCTCTTCCTCTCTTTTTGAATATGGCACTAGGTCAGGTTGGCACACAAGGTATTTGGAGTTGCTGAAGCCTCTGAGTGTGGGTCTGCCACCAGGGCTGGAAGATTCCCCACTAGGTAGAGTAAGCCAAATGTCATGCTTCCAAACTCAGCAGAATTTGATAACTATAGGATGTTCCTTCAGAAAAACGCTCATAATTCAGCTGATTTCTAACTCATAAGGAACAGGCTTGCCTTCCTTCTGGGGCAGTTATCTTCATAGCTTGTTTAGGTTTACCTTTTAAATAGTTGCTGCTAGGAATTTACTGACTTGACACAAATATACCTAAAGAAGACAGTGAATTTTGCAATGCTTCTTGTGAGTAAGCAGGAACCAGAGTGAAGTCACCTCCCTCCTCATAGACCCACAGGCTTAGAACTAGTCTTCCACTGAACTATACTCAATGAGAACAATGAAATGCAATGAGAAAATGGTAGGAGGAAAATTATCTGGCATGTGGTTGCTACCAGAAATAAATATTTCTTGTCACTTCTTCCACTTATCTTGGCACTTCCAGGCCTGGGAAACTCTCTAGAGTTAAAAGAAAAAAAAAAAGCCTAGAAGAACAGCTTGATTTTAGACAGAGCCACTAAAGAAACTGTTAGTAATAACATGTCAAGTGATAACTAATTTCCATTTTTGATAAAGTAGTTAAACAAAAAAACAGAAGCAAATAAAAAAATCTTCATGAAATTTAAACATAAATAAATAAAGCCTAGGGCCGGCCCTGTGGCTTAGCGGTTAAGTGCGCGCGCTCCGCTGCTGGCGGCCCGGGTTCGGATCCCAGGCGCGCACCGACGCACCGCTTCTCCCGCCATGCTGAGGCCGCGTCCCACATACAGCAACTAGAAGGATGTGCAGCTATGACATACAACTATCTACTGGGGCTTTGGGGGGAAAAATAAATAAAATTATAAAAATAAATAAATAAATGAATAAATAAAGCCTAATTGATAAAAAGTGTAGAGGTTGGTATTATCGGTAGATATAGCTAGAATGACATGTCAACGTGTACTGTCACAGATAACATTAATTTCTTCCATCCTCATTGAAAAATATGTTAGGGTATAAGAAGAGATATAACCTCTAGAGATAAATGGGTTATAGAAGGAATGAGTCTTTCGATCATAAAAATTATTGGGAATGCGTCTTTCTTTCAATAGGGAACTGTCAACGACACTGCTACGTCTTGACCCCAAATCTAACCAGACAGACAGCTGAGTGAGTGACTCTGAATTCACATTCTGGTTGAAGAAGGAGCCATGTATTTATTAGGATTCTATACATTTTTAAGCTTGCATATACTTTTAAAAAGAATTTCAATTGCTACAGTTCTATTTGATTTACAAATATCACATCTTACCTTCTTTGAGCACTTTTTGCTATTTTATTGCATTTTAGAGCTAGATGAGGTCTTTATTATTATGAAGTCTAATGCTCTTACTTTATGGATGAGGAAACTAAGGCTCTGAGGGGTCAAGTGTTAAAGGTCACACAGATAAATGGTGACAGACCCCGTGCTAGAACGTCTACCACTACATCAGAGATCCTTCCCTGTCCACCCTTTAGTAGGAGCCATTTTTCCCTTTGCTGTTCTCACTCCTTTTTGTTTCTGTGAGGCAGATTAGCTCTGAGCTAACACCCGTTGCCAATCCTCCTCTTTTTACTAAGGAAGATTGCCCTGGGCTAACATCTGTGCCCGTCTTCCTCTACTGTATACGTGGGACGCCTCCACAGCATGGCTTGATAGGTGGTGCATAGGTCCGCGCCTGGGATACAAACCTGTGAACCCCAGGCCACTGAAGCAGAGTGTGCGAACCCAACCACTACGCCACCAGGCCGGCCCCCTCATTCCTTTTAAAGCTACCAATATTGCTAAAAACAAGAGGCACCAGAGTTTGCCTAAAGTAAAACACCAACATTAATTTGGGTGGAAAAGCTAATGAAAGAGGTATTTAAAGAGGAGAAAGTGTATGTTTTTCTTATTTCAGTCCCTATGCTAGATCTTTCATTCAGGTATATTTCTACTACTATATTTCTACTACTACTTTACTGGACATTTTTTTTTTCTATGTCCTTTGTTCTTAAAATCAAAATAGAACTTAGTTATAGCTCAGCTCACTATCTGTTTTCATTTATCTGTTAAGGAATAATTTGGCTTATCTGAATCTGATGTGACCCTTACCACATGCTCTACTCTTGATTTGGGGGACAAAATTGGTCATTTTAATTAACCGGAGGCTACTTTCCTTTGAATTGTCCAAAATTGTCAAAAGCATGCAAAAGAAAATACAGTTTTAAAGTTTCTCTTGAGCACGTTGGCTTAGGTAGGTGTAATCCATGTTAAAGATAGCGAAACAGGTTAAAAAAATAAAAAAGGCAAAGACCTCAGGCCTCCCTACCTGGAGAGATCAGCACAGCAGATGAGAACAAAGCAATCTCCTCCTCAGTCAGCTGCAAGGAACACAAATTCTTTGCAAAGTCAAATGCTTCATTCACTAGGTCATCAGAACCTATAAAAGAAGGCAAATTAAATGAAAATACTTGAACAGAATGGGGCAAGAGGAAGAAAGGTCCCATAATCAAGAAGTTATTCAAGGACTTGCATACTAGGCACATAGAAAAAATATTTCCAAGTTCCTATCCATAAAAAGTGATTTAGTAGTAATTATAGAACGAGAAAATTGGGCAACATCTTGACTAGGTAATGAAAGATAACATTACCAATGAGGGGCAGATGGAAATGGTGTGTGCCCATTGTAATATCCCGCTGGGAATATATAACTCAAATCTAATCTTATAAGTTTGAAATTAGTTCCAACTAAAAAATTTTAAATAAGTGATTGGGGATCCTGTAGCATAGAGATAGTATTCCTAGAAAACCTAAAACATTATGTATAAGAGGCTGAGGGCTGTCGGTCTTAGGGGCACTTGAACCTGGCAATGTAGGGTGTCTAGGGGCCTCAAACTGAGATGTTAAAAACTTCTTATAGAATGGAGATGAGGAAACTTTCAATATGGTAACTTCTCTGGAAACTGGATCAAGGAGCTAGCATTCATATATTTTTCCCTTCTAGTGAATGACTCGCAGTCAGTTGCTCAGCCATTGTGAATTTTGGCAAAGTAACGTTTCATCCCTATGCTGATACTTGGTAAATGTTTATTTTATGAGGTTGGAAATATACCCACGTTGCTTGCCAAGGCTTTTCCTCCTTTCTTGAAAATCTAGCCTTGGAGATGCCATGGATGTGTATCAAGTGCAGAGGGGAAACATTGCCAGCCCCATCAGTCTTGCTGTTGGCTTCTGTATCAACTAACGGTACAAGAGGTTAAAGGGCAGTGGCCTCCTTTGATATCCGTGGGCAGGAAATGGAACAAATGGCACTAGCAATCGTTAAAACCTTTCCTGGCATCAGCCCATCTTCGCTAATGTTCTTATCCACACTGTGCACTGATGGCTGGATGTGAATGATACACAGCACTTCCAAACAGAGACCGACAATGTCCGTGCCCTTCCACAAGAACGGTCTGGGGATCATTGGCAGGTCAGCACCCACTCTATCTGTGCTCCCAGAACTTCATGAATTAACAGGGAGAAAGTCACTGCTCTGAGTGAGAAACAAGCAAAGGAGCTCCTCTTTTAATTAGGTGTCTTAACTAATGATTATGAATTTACATAAAAAACTTAAGACGTCACTGCTATGGACAACTAGTGGTCTACATAATATACTGTGCGAAGCAGTAAGCTAGAAGGTAACAGAAAAGCTGGTCCTACAAAGAATGACCTATAACACATCTCAGCTCTTTTAGAATCAATCTCCATTGATTTCCGAATGAGGCATGGTCAGTCTCATGGTTCTCTCCTTCCTTTCATATTTGGATGCAGAATTGTAGGATCCAAAGATTTAGATGAAACATTGGAGGCTCACCTAGTCCAACCCTGATCGAATAATGAGATACTAGTTCACATTAAAGAATCAAGGCATTTCATTTACCAATTTCAATCTGAGTGGAGAAATTGATGGTAGCTAATAAAATTGTGTCATCATCAAAGGTAAACTTACCTAAGGCCTTGAACATCTGTATTCCTCCATATTTTCCTTCAAACAGAACAGTGTTGTTTAATGGGTTGAAGGCACGGCACATTCTCACTAAAACCACTTCCAAGCAACCTACGAGTAAAAAATAAAAAAATATGTATAATATATTCAATAATAAAGAGGTTATTACTGCATATAGGCCAAGAGACTTTCAGAAACTTTAAAACACACACACAGACACATATAGACACACACATACAGAAATCCTTCAAGATTCCTTCCCAGGTGAAAAATAACTATTTTAGAAATAAAGCTCTAGTAAAGATAAAATATACTTTAAAGGTGGCTAAAATGGAAGGCAGCAATAACATTTTTTTAAAGCATAAATTCCTTTCTATTTCTGTGGCTAATATTAAAGACAGTTTCAACTCTTGAATTCACAAGTGATGATAAGTGGCCCAGAAAGGAGCTTTGTGGCAGGCAAGTCCAGTCTGGTAACTTCTGTAGAAGTTCTGCTATTGGGAACACTTGATCTCTGCCTCAGTGTTTCACATAGTCCATGTATATTTCAGCATATGATGACTTTAAATAGAGACTCCCTCAGTGTGTTTCTTGGAGGCACCATTTATATCTGATGTTCTTTGAAACGAGGGTTTCTTGGTCAAATGAGTTTTGGCAAAATGCTAAATATTATCTCATTCCAGAGAGTTATAATCAATATTTACAGATCAAAGGCTTGGAGAAGTCCTGATGTGAAGGAGCTTGTTCAGCCTTGATGGACCTAGCATTTCTCTGAGCTCACTGTTAGCCCAATGAGGGCAGGAACCCTGTCTGCAGCCATAGGCAATTGTGGTTATTTTATTCACTCTCACACCTCCAGGACCTAGAAAAGGCCCTGGCACATAGTCGGTGCTTAATAAATATTTATTGAATGAATTAGTTTACTACCTTTGTTTTTCCCTCTAAACACTTATTGACATCCTGAGGAACTATAGCTGCACAGTTTCTCTCTATTTTGGAGAAATAGTGTTTGCCCCATAGAGTTGGAAAGTGACAGCCAAAGCCAGAAGCCACAAATTTGGATGAGGGCATCATTTGGGTGATTTGTCTATACCCAGGGTGCCTTTTTTATGCTGCCACTTTATATTTATGACTGTGTGTTATCTCCGTTGTTCTGCTGATTTCTCTTTGCTTTCCCTCATATGTCACCTTACATAGGGTCTTACACCTAGGAGGTGACTTGCAAATATTAATCGAAGCAGTGCTTTTCTGACAAAAGCAGTAATAGGTACCATTTATTGAGTATCTACAATGTGGAAAGCACTTTCCTTGGCCCCTTATAGTCATTGTTTTATTTGCTTCTTGCAATACCATTTCAGATGAGTTTCAGTAGCCCTTTTTTATGGATGAGCCCTTTTTTATGCCTCATACAGGAGGCATGAAGAGGTTAAGTACCCCGCCTTTTATACTAGAGTCAACATTTTCACGGTAGGCAGAGATGTTGAAGATTATATGGTCCAGTGGTTCCTAAACGTCAGTCCATGGAGTGGTTACACCTGAGACTTAGAAATACATGAACTGGGTTCGCCTTTTGGAGATTCTGATTCCACAGGCCTTGGATGACGCCTATGACTCAGAACAGTCAGTAAGCTCCTCCGATACTGCTGACGCAATTCCAAGTTTGGAATTCATTATTTGTAGTCCATCTCTTTATTTTACAAACGAGGACACTGCCGTCTAGAGAGGTTAGCTCAAGGTTACATATCAAGTGTGGCAGATTTTATTTTTCAAAGAGAGTCACAAAAATATCTTCCATACCACAAGCTTTTCTAGAACCTTACCACTCTCCCATCAAGAAGGAGAATCCATGTCTCCTACCCTTGAGCCCACGTGGGCCTTCACTGATGCCTCAACTAGTAGAGTGTGGTGGAAGTAACACTATGTAACTTCTGAAGCTAAGTCAGAAAAATGCTCTGCACTTCCGCTTGTTCTTTTGGAATGCTGGCTTGGAAACCTAGCAACTGTGCGTAGAAAGCCCAAGCAGTCTGTGGAAAGGCTCACATGAATAGGTACTGGGGGCCCCAGCCCACAGCCTTGGCTGTACGTAGGCTGTCGACCAGCATAAATTGCCAGCCATGTGAGCGAGCCAATTTGAAAGCGAATCCTCCTGCTCCTAGTCAAGTTGTCTCTGTGAGCACCACATGAGGCAGAGACAAGCGATCCCTGCTGAGCCCTGTAGCTCAAATTGTAGCTTTGGGAGCAAAATGAGTGATTATTGTTGTTTGAACTAAGCTTTGGAGGTGTTTTAACCCAGCAATAGAAAACTGACACATCAAGTTAATGTTTGAATCAAGATTTGCATCAACCTGTATCATTTGGGAAAGAAGCAGCAGTGACTCAGAACAACTAGAATTGCATGTGGCCCAAGTTCAAGTGCCAGCTCTGCCATATACTGGCTTTGTTATATGGAACATAGCCCTTCCCTTCTCTGAATCTTCACCTCTTCTTCTATAAAATGGAAATAATACCATCTCACAAGATTAAATGAGATGTCATAGGTAAACATAAACATATATATGTATGTTATTATAGATATAAAAGTATGTTATTAATATTACTATGGCCCAGAACCATGAGTGTTAACATGAACACCATGGTGGTTCTTATTTTCTATTTTCAAATGGGGCCACGATAGACAAATAATTTTTTCTCTGTTTGGGTAATAGCATCTGCAAAGTCAATCACGTGCAGAGTTTCTTGATCTACTTCCTAAGAGAATGTGTGAGTGTCTGAGAGAATGTGTGAGGGAAGGGGGAGGGAAAGATGAGTGCACAGGAGAGCTTCTCCTGGTATATTCTGGCTGCAGGCTATCCCCAGTAAAATGATTGCAAATGACCACAGAGGCAGAGCTCAGCTAGCCTGGATTTTTTCTCCTCCAACAGAAGGCAAGTAGCACGTTTTAGAGCCAGCTCAGCAATTCAGCCACCGAGACACGCTAATTACTTGGTCTGCTTGTCAAGCTGGGTATCTCAACCTCTGCAATTAATAGCTCCACTTTCAATAAGCAAAATTGTATTTGACTTCAAAGGGGAACTGAATGAGTATCAGGGCATTTTTATTACTGAGAGTTCCTTTGGGACTTGCCTGACAATGTGGGTGGTAAAAGTGAGATACGTATCGGAAGGAGGATTTTCTAGAACCAACGCTGAGCTAACGGTTGACCACGTCCTGGTCTAAAATAGGCCCCCCATGAATCTTCTCCCTGTTTACCTGACTTCAGAAGTAGAATTTGATCATTTTGACAGAGCTCCATGAAGCCCGTTATCCGCTTTGCAAACTCTACGACATATTGGATGGCGTGAGTGATCTGGATGGCACACTGCTGCCATAGTGCTTCCCTGGACTTCAAGAAAGAAAACACAGAATGTACATGGAGCAAAGAACAACTTGGAGGGTCGGTGAAATACTCAGGGTTGCCCTACTGCTGCTTACCTCTCACCTGCGGCCCAAGGTGGGAATTTACCCAATTCTTTTAAAAGAGGCAGACAATATTTTCTAAGATATTGTTTTGACCTTTTGAACCTTGATACACCACAATTATCAAAGTACTAAGGCTCAAATAATGGAAACACGACGATAGTATGTAAAGATAGTTATTTATAGTTTCTTTACTCTTTTTCCTCCTTTTTCCAGAACTTACAGAGATTGTTTTTTGGTATAAAAAGAATTTCAAGGGAAAAAGTATCAAATCAAATCACTCTCTTAAGTAGTATAGAATCCCAGAAATGGATTTTGACCCTTGGGTTATTTTCTTTGGAATGGCAAACATAAATCCAAGTGTGTTAATTCTGGTTTTTGTTGACCATAACAACACCTATGCTTTTGTCTCCTTATTTGTATAAAAGTGGTAATATTTAATTGCTCCAGTGGCGAAATCAGTGTATCGTAATCATATATTTAGATACAGACACATTTATATATTTTATCAAAATTCCATTTACTGGTAGATCTTGTAACTGAAGATCTCAATCTCAACGTAAAATAATGTGAATACAGAACAACAACAACAAATTCTTTCTCTCAAAAACTTCTCTAATGGACACAATAATCAAAATAATAATAATAACAATAATTATACGGGATGAGTTGTCCTTTTTCCTTTTGGTCCTTGTTTTAACATGTAGGGCAAGAAAAAATATTCGGTTTTATTGCATGTCTTTGCAGTGTAAGTTTGTGACTATTATTACTGCTGTGATTTCTCAATTGCTTCTGCTCCTTGCCTGGCCCTAAAAAGCCACCATGAGATGTCTTAAATCATCTGATGTAGGCACAGTCACTCTGGTCACTCAAATAGGGCAGTGATTTTCAATTGGAGGTGTTTTGTCTCCCAGGGAACATCTGGCAATATCTGGAGACACTTTGATTGTCATAACTATGTGTGAGGGGAGTGCTACTGGCATCTGGTGGGTGGAGACCAGGGATGCTGCTAAACACCCTACAATGCACAGGACAGTCCCTACAGCAAAGAACTGTCTAGCCCAAAATGTCAATAGTGCTAAGGTTGAGAAAGCCAGAAACAGAGAAATCACAAAAAACTTTCCTGCAGTTTCCCAGAGTACCTTGCTTTGATACGCTTTAATTTCCTCATAGGTATGGGTCTGCCATGCCAGCTGGTGTAGCTCCTCCATGGTGTACTGACATGTCTCCAAATGGGATTTAATGATGTTCTGTGCAATTCGATCTATGAGAAAGAATATCAAGTCAAGAGTTTATGAATAAAATCCCACTCTGCTCAAAGAAACTTTTTTTAATGTGTTTACTATAGCAATGCCTTTTGGAGATACTTCAATTCTATAAGAGTGTCTTTAAAGCTTCTATCTATTTAAAAATATCCAGCGGCCAGCCCGGTGGCGCAGGCAGTTAAGTGTGTGCGCTCCTCTGTGGTGGCCCGGGGTTCGCCGGTTCGGATCCCGGGCGTGCACCAAAGCACCACTTGTCAAGCCATGCTGTGGTGGCATCCCATATAAAGTGGAGGAAGATGGGCATGGATGTTAGCCCAGGGCCAGTCTTCCTCAGCAAAAAGAGGAGGATTGGCAGATGTTAGCTCAGGGCCGATCTTCCTCACAAAAAAAAAAATATCCAGACAAACTCTTTATTGCCTTTTTTCAATTTTCAGTCTTTCAATCAAAATTTACTGCCTTTTGGGACCGCCCTGGTGGCGTAGTGGTTAAGTTCGTGTGCTCCACTTCGGTGGTCTGGGGTTCGCAGGTTTGGATCCCAGGCGTGGACCCAGGCACTGCTTATCAAGCCATGCTGTGGCAGGTGTCCTACATATAAAGTAGAGGAAAATGGGCACAGATGTTAGCTTAGGGCTAATCTTCCTCACCAAAAAAAAAAAAAATTTTACTTGCTTTTCCTTCTCTTTTTGGTCACAAACCTGGGATCTTACAAGTTGTAAAGTGTTCAAATAATTATTTACTTTAAAAATAAATATAAATTACCATATTTCTTGCTTTTTGGCCTAAAAGTCCACTAACAGTCTTGATATTTACTCCAAATACTTTAAAATATTTTGAAAATCACTAGACCCCCATTGTTTATCTCAGAAAGGAAGAATTTAAATACAAATACATTTGCTTATATTTAAGAAAAAGGATGATTAAACAATAATCTAAAATGATAGTTATCTATAGAGGAAAGAGGATAGAGTGAAGAGACGAGGATAGAAGCTAGACTTCTATGATGATATTGTTTTTATAGATTTGACTTTGGGACCATGAAGATATCTTACATAATAAATAATGGGAGAGGGAGTATAGATGAAATAATATTGACTCATGAGGAAATAATTATTGAAATTTGGTCATGGGGCCCATTATATTCTCCTTCTAATTTTTTATATGATGAAATTTTTCTTTAAAAAAGAGAAAATGATTATATTCATAAATAAATAGTCACAAACACAATCAGTCTTTTGGGGCCATTTTTATCCCAAATGAGTTGCATTTGGTATTGTATCTTAAACACTGATCATTTTGGGTTTGGAGGTGTGAAAGTTGAGCAATAGAACCAGACATAAGAGCTCTCCTTAAAAATCTGCTCTGAGTCCCCTGAAGTTGGATAGAGCTGGTAGGAGGTCCCCTACACAATCTCATCTGCTATTTGAACACATGAAGACGGTGACATCTTGGGAAACCAAAGCACACAGGAATTCTGTTTGTGGAGTGTGAGTAGAATGAAGATGACCAAAGTTTTTGCCTGATAACTGTTCTTGGCTCTTACAGAAATGGAATTTTTCTTGTGTTTCAAGTTGTGCCATTTCAAATACAATTTCTGTTCTTTCTAAATAGCCATATTTCGCTTCTCTAGGATAAAGCAGTACTCAGGGAACTTCTTTTTCCCTTGCTAAGCTTCTGGTGTATATGGCATGACATAAATTGAGTTTTAGTGATGTAGAGAATAAAAAAATGTAAGCTTAAGCTTCTAATAAACTTTCCAAATAAAAAATCTCATATAGCCCATTTCCTGGCACATTGTAAACACTGAGTAAATAGTAGCCACAACTATCATTATTATGACACTCTGTATAGTTTCTTGTCAGGGAAGCAATGTGATGACTCCAATGGAGACAAAACAGAGATATTTAATTTTGGAATTAGTGCTACTGCAGAAAGATATTTCAATATCTACTAGAGTTTTTCAATCAGAACCATAAGGTGATAGATGTAGAAGATGCTACAAGGTGCTAACTTATGATTATAGTTACGCTGTACTGGATTCAGCATTGAGCATTTCTAGACTTCCATTGCTTATCATATTATAAAATCCTTTCTTTAAAAAAACCCTATACTCAAAATGTTACTGAATATCTTCCTATGTTATAAAAAAGGGGAGGAATTACTCTATACAATGTATTAAAATAGATTGGCATGTCATGGTTCATCATTTTTCAATTTCACTTGGGCAGTCTAATTACTTAGAATCTAAAAAAAACATGTCTATTCCTCAGTAGGTACATAATGAAAACATAAGATTTTTATAAGCTCTATAGTTTTCAAGCCTTTATCTTGGTGTAGTTTGTTTTCATCTTCAAAGATATGCTGATTTGTCAGTAATTTACAGGCTCCAGGGTTTATGAGCAAAACCATAATTGCCGCTCAAAATTGCATTATGAAAAACTCTTTTTATCTATTCCTTTATGACATCTCCTGGGAACAGTTGGGCAAGGTTTAAGAATTCTCTGGCTTTCTGCCACCAAAGCTTAGGGTTCTATTGGGTATGAGGGGGAGTGGGCATAATAAACACGTGGGCAGGTTAAGCAAAATTGGAAGTTAAGTCCACATGCGTGCTTTAGGACTCAGCTCAGATATCCACTCCTGGCAAAGACTCCTCTGCTTCTCTCCGTCCTCAGGTAGAAGGGCCGGCTGCCATTACACTTTGATTCTACCTACAACTGAGCCATTATTCCAGTCAAACTCACATTGTGGTTATTTGTGTGGATCTGTCTGTTCCATACCCTTCAAGACTGTGAACTCTTCAAGAACTGGACTGCAGAGCCCAGCATAGTGCCTTCATATATTCATTCAACAAAAATTTTTTAGAAGCTATTATATACCAGGTTAAGGTACAGATGAAAAAAGATACTTTCTTTTTTTAAAACATCTTACAATAATATCATATCATACCATGATGTAATAAGTTCCCTGAGTTATTGTGGGAGCCCAAAGAAGAAAGTGTGTAACTCACTCTGGGAGAGGCAGAAAAATAACCATAGAGAAGATGACTGTCGACCTGGGTCTGAGCAGGAGTTTGTCACATGGAGAAAAGAAAGATGGACCTGATAGAGGGAATATTACAAAGGCACAGATAGAAAACGAGCTATGAGCTAGATAATTTCTGACGTTATATTTTACATCTTTACAATTCTTACCTTTTATAATCAAAATCCCTTTTTCTGAGGAAAAAAGTGAGGTTCAGAAAAAGTAAGTGACTGTAGACTCGCTTTTTACAGAGCTAGCAAATGGTGTTTTCAAATCGAGTCTGTCTTTTCTGGCAAGAAGTCTGTAGTGTTTGCAACATAGAGTGCATGGAAGAGATGGGGAGATATGAGACTAGGGATGGAAATTGTGACTAGAGACAACACAGCTGAGCAAGCCAGGCTAAGGAATATGGATTTTATCCTGTAGGCGACCGGGAGCTAGTGGAAGCCGTGATGCAGGAGAGTGACACGGTCAGTGTTTTGTTTTAGAAAGGTGATCCTGCCCATGGCAAAAAATATGACATGGCATTAAAGAGTACGTGAGATTCATCAGTTGTGAAAATTGTTGTGAAAATTCAGACAAGATACGAGGAGGGTCTGGACTCGGTGAGAATGACAGAGATGGAGTGGAGGGCTAGATTTAAGACAATTCTAAAGGAGAATGCACAGGACGAGCAGTTGTGTGTGTGTGTGCGTGTGTGCGTGTGTGCGCACACATGTGAGAGAGACAGAGAGACAGAGAGAGAGAATACTATATATAGTAGGTGCTCAACCAACGTTGAATTAGTAAAGATAATGAAAATGTCCATCCATCGATCGATCCATCCATCTATCCTTCCATTTTCTGCTTTATTTCACAAAGGATTTTAGAAAGCTTAGATTGACCCTTTGTTTGATAATCTTAAAGCCTAAACATTCACAATGGCTTTGAAGTCAAACATTAAACATGCACAATTATTTTCCATACACTTGTGGTGAGAAAGAAAAGGCAAATCTCTTTTTGACCTAAGACTTCTCAATATCAACGAAGGCTAAGACACAGTAGCAGCAGTTGCCGAAGCAGTCTCTTCTGCTTCCTTCCACGGGTCTGCAGTGCTAAGGTGAGCCACGTGTAAAACCCCACTTGACCTTCTCAAGGCTCAGGTCGATAACCACGCGGTAAAGCTAGACTTGGTCCCATGGGAGCAAGGCCCAAGGGTTCATTCTGTCAATTAGAAAGATGCATGAACATCAGAGGAGATGGTTTGCTTGGACTGAGAGTCTCCAGTCGTGAAAAGGGGAGAAGGATTTAAAAAGAAAGGACAAAGGAGAGATAACGAATACAGCATACAAAGTTCCTGCTGGGAGCCAAAGGAACTTTCAAGAGTCCTTGCCTGGAAAAATAGAACAGGTAACAGTAAACGCAGGCCTCTCCAGGGACCAACCACATGAGAAAGTCCAGACAAAGAGACTGAGGTAAAAGAGCAGAGGATATGGAATCTTTCTGGGCAATCACACACCCTTCATCCGTTTCCCTGACTTAGGTTGCAGCGGCTTCTTGGAGCCCAGTTTTTGTCGGATTCTTTAACTAACTTGGGCTGCAGATGGCACATGCTGAAGCAGTCAGCAAGCTCTGTGCTGGGTTAATGAGTCCAATAGGCATATGGCCCAGATGACTGACTCATGGGAGATGGTAGCACCTTCAGAGGTGATGTTCATGGACTCTACACTCTGCTCTTCCTGACGCCAGATGAGGCTGGGATTTCTTAAGTGGACATGAAAATGCACCTTCATATTCTCATGGTTATAAGTTCAGTCACACAGACGTTTGTCCAATTCACTAAGTACGTGGGCTGCTGTGATAGCTAATAAAATGATGTCAAGGAACGAGAAAAACAATTTTATATGCTCAGTCCAGTCATTGCTTTTCCATCATGATGAGGTAAAATGTAAACATTGATGCCGACAAGGGAAAATGGGTTGTGTAATTATGGCTTAATATT